TCTCCATTTGGGTGCTTAACTTTCTTACCGTCGCCGACATACTTGATGGGCTGGGAAAAACTGGCTGGAGTTTGCATTTTGTGCGAAACTGAAGAGCACCATCTTACGAAGGAAGCAAAAGAAAACCTGAATAGATTTCATGCAGCATCAGTCAAGTTTTTGTTATGGGTCTAAGTTAAGTAACAGAAGAAAAGGCGATATGGCTCAACACCTTAAAGGCACAGCAGATTCGTAAGCCAATTACCATCCTAACTTCATCCCTGGTGGTGTTCGGAGTTTTTACTTTAAATTCATGCTGCTTCAGGCTCCTTCAACGCTCGGAGCTAAGTGCATAAAGAAAAACTGTGAAGCTGCCTCCTCTGGCACTTTGTTCAGCATTTGACCTACACACACTGCGTACATGCACACGTTAGAAATGGCTCCATTTAACATGAAAAAGAATGCAAAGAAAACCTTCAACGCCAAATGATATCCGCAAACTTTGAAAATAAGACCAAAGTGTTTGGCAAAGAAACAAACTGACCGCTCGCGTCCGAATGAGTAAAGGCTCTTGGTTTCACTCATAAACTCAAAGAAAGCTGCCATGATGATGAGCTAAACCATCGGTGGAAAAATCACAATTTGCCATCAAGCTCTGAGAAACCCCTCTCTGCGCCGCCACAGGAGGGAGCGTCCCGTACAATCGAAAGTCATGAGAGACCTAAACATAAAACTCTGTATTTTACACATATATAATATAATGGACAGATATATTACTGTAATATAGATATGACATTTCTCATTGGCATTTTGGACTCTAAATAAATCTTTTCAGGAAAACTGACACAAAATATATTTACAAAGAGACTTTTGGCATTCATGATAAACTCTTATGTTACCAGGTTACAGGATGTGCTCCACTGGATGAATGCGAGTGTTGACAGACTGGTGCGACTACAGCTTGAAAAATGGGAAAAAAAAGAAAAGAAAAAGATAAAAAACAAACAAAATGTTTGGCATGTTGATTTGATCATTTCTTATATAAGATTTCTGTTTAAATATAAAATCAAAACCAAACAAGGACTGGCAATAAATCTTTGCTATTACACCATCCAGTAAGTGTAATTATTTGTCATACACAGTATTCAAAGGACTCCTGAAAACTCCCAAGCACGATACAAAGAAGGATAAGCTGGTTAGTATATACATGTATAGTCTTTTACAGCTGTACTCCTCAGGATAAGCGTCCGACTTTTCTTTTTCTAATACTCTGGATATATTAAAAAAAAAAAAAGAATGGAACAGAAATTTCCCCACGACCCTCATCTTCTCAGGGAGTTTGTTGTCCTTGTGAACAGTCACTCCTCTTTATCGCCAGTGGTCGGTCACGTGATTAATCTTCCTCCATCTGTGAGCAACGATGGTCTCGCATTTTGCCTGCTCTGTCCGAGTCCCATCGTCAGCCCGTTAAATGAACCACTCCTTCTTTGATTCGTCGATAGTTTCTGGGTTGTCGGTGCCGATGATGGCCGTGTCGGCCGACTCTGTGGCCGACTCCCCGCTGCCCTTGGCCTCGTTGGTGTGGTAGGTGCCTTTGTGACGGAACATGTAGCGGATCAGGAACACCAGCGTACACAGGATGGTGAAGATCACCACTGCGATGATCCCTGTGGAAGAGAGAGATAGCACGTCGAATGTACTGAGCTTTCAGTCCCGTCTGCTGCCTCACTTCAAAGTTTTCATTGGTCCGCCGCCTACGTTTTCAGTGCCATCCACATTTCCTGGCACATAGCAAGCATTGATGCTTAAAATAATTTACCAGATTTCGGTTTCGTCTCCTATGGACTCTTTACTTCAGCACGTTCTCCGCCACATTCCCACATCATTTGTTGCAAGCTGGATCCACCTGAATTTTTTCCCATCCCACTTATCCTAATTACCATGCACTAGACTAGTGGCTAAAACAAAATGTGCACTGGTGTCACACCAAATTTATACCCCAGGGAAACAGAAAGTCATGGATTATGAATAAGAAGATCCCAAAATCTCTAATCAAAATATTAATGTCAGGTATAGATTTCATTTGTTTTTCTTGCATTTATTTTAAAAATGGCATTGACCAGATAATAAAGTGAATTCTCCGTTTACATTTTAGTCCATGCTACTAAAATAAGAATTTATTTCATGCTTTTACACATTTTTACTGCAGGGTATTATGATTACTGCATATGAATCATCATGTGGAGATCAAAAATAATTACGCAAAACATGTCATTGATCTTACTTAATGTGCATTTTTAACCAAAATCTGCCTAAATTAATTTTTTTGAAAACTGCCATTTCAAAGTGTAAATCCCTTTCATTTACTATTTTATTTTATTTTCTATTACAAAATGAGACACGACACCCAAAACAAGGCTTCTGACCAGAACAAGTGAGACATTATTTCCAGATCTTTTTATATCAGGTTGAACTATGACAACTCTTTCTCCGCATATATTGTTTTAGCAGTGTTCATACACGAAACATAAGTAGCGGTGGCACACCTCCAATGATGGCCGAGTCCCTGTTAACTCCATCAGGAATGACTCGCTCTTCATTTAGGGGAGTCTCTGCATCTGCACGGCGAAGAGAAAAGGGACAGGAAAAAGCATCAACAAAAAGAAAGTGTAACGTACAGCAAGTCTAGACCAGCTTGTAAAAGCAAAGGAAAAACACAAATTTCTGTTTTTTTTACTGTCTCTTTAATTAATGCTATCCTTGAATTCTTGTAAGATTTATTTCTGAATTTTCTGTGTTTCTTGTCTTTATGATGAAGTTTATTCATTAATATTCTGACATGCTGAGAATAAAGAGGTAGACCTTATTTATAAATTAGGTAACTTCTCAATGAAATTAGTTCCACTGAAATTTATTTATGGGCGACAAAGTAAATGGGGATGGGTACAACCGTGTGAAACATCCGTCTGTAAAGCCATTTCAAAATCATACATTTTTTTCCTTCTTCACATTTATGCAAGACTGGAGTTGATTTATAACAAATTCCCAGTAAGACAAATTGAAATGTGGAGTTGAAACTAAATACAAAACATAAAAAAAAAAATAAAAAAAAAATTCTTGCTGGTAGAGGTATAAATAAACCTCTTTGCAAATCCTTTCATGAATGCAAGCAATTGTTGTCGTGTAAGACGATTATCATGGTTCATTTCTAAAGTTCGTACACGATTAAATACATAATTTCAGCTCAAGACGTATCTTGATAATGATTTGTATGTTAGGCTTGTAGCATGAAAGGACGTTTTGTTACTTTAATCTCGCCTAATTATAGGATATATTGCTTGTGCACATTTCAGAAGTTGGAATGTCGACCACAAAAAGCTCCTCATATGAGAGAACGTTTACAGGAGAGAGTTTTATTCTAGAAGTACCGACCGGTGTTGTCCAGAGGCCAGGGATTCGGTGCGGCCGACATTGGTGGGATGGTGAGAGGCGAAGCCCCGCAGTTAGATTGCACGAGTTTGCCCTGGTAGGACACAGGAGAGGCAGACGCAGGGTGGCTGTCGGCCTGGGCGTCTGCGGCTTTTCTCAGAGCAGACTTGAGGGGCGCGACTCCGTTGAACTGCACGCGGGACAGGCAGCCGATGAAACCCGGGCTGTTGTATCTCTCGATGAGGACGGGGTCTATGGGTCCAGTTTCTATGCAGAGATAAATGACGGAGAAGAGGAGCTTGTTAAATTGTCTTAGTTAACTCAGCACTGTATGAAACGAAAGAAATAAGATTCTCCGACACATGGTTTCGGATAGCAAACTTTAAACTTGCCGATTCCAAAGCAATCCCCCTTTGACGCTGAATAATACAACATTTAAGTGGGGGATTTAATTTTTTAAATGAAATAATTTGTCTGTTGCTGCTGCATGGCCTCGGACACACCCAGAAGGAAATGTTTGGACAATCACAGAGAACGCTATGACCTCATGATGACTAACAGGACTCCTCCATGTGCAACCACGCTCGTCGTTAATGAATCTGGATGATGGGATTCTGAGTATCTGGACATGGTTGATAATATAATTCTAACTCTATTTCATTTTGATGAGTCCAATCCAAGCTTGTGTGTGCACCAGAAATAGTCCTGTTTTTTTATTCCTCTTGTGCCTGGATCTACAAACTTCACCCCGTCTGTGTATTATGTCTTAATTTTCATGCCACGCACATGGTTTCTCTGTATTTAATTTTTTCTCTGTGTGTCTGCACAATGGCTATGCATTTTGAATGTAATACACACATTAATATGAGTAAAGCAATTTTTATGGCGAGACACAAGTCAAACAGTGGCTCTCGATCTCGATCTAAAATGCGTTAAAGTATGACCAAATGTGGAAAAAGTTGAAAAGGTTTGGGAATTTGCATGAGGTGCACAACAAGAGTGGATAGAAACACACACACACGCACACACAAGAGGAGAGCAGCAGGTGCCAAACAGCAGGACAGCGGACAGATTTACTGGTACCAGCCATCTTTCAAATGCAGAACATGCTTCTCTTCTGTATGCTTGAACATGTGCTGATCACTGTGGGGCCCTGTGTGTGAATACTAACATGCTTCTCTGCTGGGATTGCAACTGGGCTCCTTTGCACACAATGACATTTTCAATACACACGGGAAACTACCGGAAAGTGCAAGTCAGAAAGCAAACAAAGGATGTGGCAGATTTTATAATGCATTGTATAGAAAGGGTGGAGCAGGGGATCAACTCTAATCTTACATTTTATGAGCTGAACTTGCAAAGAGGCTCAGTTTGAGAAGCTTAGACAGAGTAGATATGGCAAAAGTGAATTCAATAGAAAACTACAATTACTAGTCCAAGAAGGAAAAATAAACTTCTACAGAAAAAAAGGGTTACATTATAACCTTTCAGAACCTTCTTGGCTGGCAGAAAGTCGAAAATGATAAAGTCCCATAAATTGCTGATTGTTAAATGTAGCAATTGAGGCTACGTAATAGTATTTATCGAAACATCCTCAATCTCATGAGCAGCACTTTATCAACATGTAGGATCTAGTGATGAACAGAATCCCCAGATATCTTAGTAATAATAATATATATATAACACATTTTGATGCAATGATAAGTTGCTTTGGGACTGGTGGTCACCTCTCAATGACCCAGACTGGGTGTCACACAATTTCTTCCTTCAGTGGACACAAAAATGGTGTCTCCAGAAAAGCAGTTGCTGTTTTCATCTGGCACATGTTGGAGGTTCTGCTCCTCAGAACTCTGAACCAAACTGCAAACAGAACCCAAGAAATTCTTGCATTCTTGCTAGAGAAACTACATAGATTGGATCTCTACTCCAGGTGCACACCAATGGAAAACAGAAAAAAAGCCTGCTACAACTTTAAAGATGAAATGATAAAATAATTATGCAACCAAAAAACGAGGCGATAACGTGCGTCTTTGATTCCAGTCAGACTCGTTCATTGTTGCTACTTCTGTGTCTCTCTTTGTCCACCTGGACTCCAGATTTATCCAGATCCACTTGTATGACTCTGCATTAAGAGGCTGACTCATTAGCTATAGTCGTTCAGAAAAATAGATTTTTTTTTTCAAACCCTTTTGTTCTCATTTTTAGGCAGAAACTTAAAATAAGTGACACCCAACTGGAGATAGTGTACTACTTTAAAGTTTGGATTAGCAGCTTTAAACTGCAGTAACATTTGAAGAAATTCTTGGATATTTATTCACAAGCATCTTAAATAGTTTCAAAAAAGCTTGGTGGATTTTGGTAACAAATAATCAGTATCTTTACAAGAAAAAAATATTACAGCTCAATCCAAGGCATTGAAAATTGAAAGGTACGCACATATTTATCCATAAGTATGCATTATACATGAGGCCATTGAAGCAAAAAATCTAACATGCTTAGATTTCTTGTTTCTTTTCATTAATCTTTTGCCTTGTCCCGGCTCTCAGCACACTAATCTACAAACACCTACAAGTGATTTAACACTAACCACAAACTGATCTCCTGTTTGCAAAGCTTGGTCATAGCCTGTGTTAGCAGCTTTCTACACTAATCAATAAAACATAGGCAAAAACACAAAGCAAACAGCTTTTCCACACACACACACACACACACACACACACACACACACACAGGTTATAATTTGAAGACAGAATGGACTGCTTCATTTAGCCAGGATGAAAAGCAGCATCATGTTTGATTTATAGGTCCTTCGCTCGCGTGTGACCATATGTGACCATATGTGACCCTTCGTTAATCCATCTCGACCAAACGCACGTTAATACACGGCAGAAGCGTCGTTGAAAAGAGTCGACTGCACCCTCAAGACGGTGAGTCAGTTTGCATGAATAATTCAAAAAAGGAGGTGCAGAAAGAAACACAATTGGTAGTTATGGGGTGTTAGTGAGTGTGTGTGTGTGTGTGTGTAAGTTGGATGAATAAAACAGGGGAAGGAGAAGTGACAGGCAGAACTGGCTCAGAGGGTGGGTGTGGCTCCAAGGTTCAGAAGGAACGGGCATTATAAGAGGAAAGGTGGGTGGAAAACAAAGCGGAGAAAGTGTGAAGGACAAAAGAGTTGGAGAGAAACAGTGAGGAGAGAGGGGGAATCAAATGGTTCCCATGGCGACAAATAGAAGCCGATTGAGGGGTGGACGAGGGAGAGGAGACATTGTTGCTGGTGCGAGGTAATGGAGAAGCGTGATGCGTTTAGAGGTGCGTGAAAAGAATATCAATGTGGGTCCGTCCACCACGCCCTCCAGTAGATCTGGATCATGCACAAACACTCAGATGTTCTACTGAGAGGTGCAGACAAGCATCTTTACTGCAGTACATAAACAGATGGAAAAATGGGAAAATGGATAGAGGCAAGATTGAATAAATAGTTTAGAATCATTTGCTTTCTTCAAACATTTAAAAGTGATTTAAAAAATCATAAATTGGCAAAAAAAAAAAAAAAAAAGTTCTTTATGTTTTGCAGTAAATTGAAATTGTCCTAATTGCAGCATTAGGACAACAATGTAACTTTCTAGCTTTAGATGTTAAGCCACATAAAAAAAAACAAAGCTGTCTTTTGTCTGAATTAAGCTAAAGCTACACAACAGGAGGCGGTGTCACATAAATGTTTGCTTAGAAAAGCGGGATGTGATGATTGATGAGGATCGGTTTTAAGCACAGCAAATATACCTGCAGCTTTCCCCACTCAACCAGAGAGAACACACCCACATGCATTCACACAAACACACACAGGTATGCTCTTCAGCGCCACCTCCAGCATCCTCCTTGACCAGGATGCTAATTTTGTTAACACGCCAAACCAATTAAAAACCAACACAGACACGTTGACGTTGTCTCACTGTCTGCGATGGCTCTTTTCGGATCAGATTCTCTCACACACACACACACACACACACCTACACAAGTGACTGCAGGGAACTCGCACAGACACATAAATTCCCATAATCCTGTTCATCTAGCAAGTAAACCGGTAAAAAAAGAAAGAAAGAAAGAAAAACATTCCCACCCATGAGTACAAAAAATGCGGCAAAAGAGGACGGGATGAAACTCTCTGCTTCAGATACAGATTCGAGGTTCAGTTTTCGCCGAGATGACTCAGTGACCTGCCGCAACCTTGGCACACACATGCAAACGCAGCAGCAACGCGAGCAGAGGACACACAGGCATGCATTCACCACAGTTACCTACACAGACTTGTGTCTGTGAAGAGTTTGTGCACCAAACCTTCTTCTCTTCTTCTTTCAGATGTTCTCTCTCTCTCTGTTATGTGGCTCATGTGGAAACAGCAACACACTGACAAGCATCTCCTTTTCTCCCTGTTTCCCCCCCCCCCCCCCTTTTTTTTTTTTTTTACCTCTCTCTATCCCTCCCTTTTCTCTGCAGTGCAGTCCCACCCCCACTCCCAGACGCTTGCTGGAGAAAACCCGGATCCAGGATCCGATGTGGCCTGGATCAGGATTCCCCGATCCCAGATCCAACTCGTGGCTTTTTGGTAATGACGTCATTCTTTCGAGACGTATGGAGACGTACACACAAAACAGCCGTCTGAGCACAAAGGACAGATTGATGTTACAGAGGTAATCAAGCTGCCAATCGGAGACAGAAAAGGAAGGGAAATTTGTGATATCAGCTTGATCCAACACCAGGGTTTTATCAGAGCTTTGACTGGAGTCAGGATGTTGTGTGGCTGTCAATGCAAAGGTCAACACAAAACAGAGATGGTCAAAGGCTACTCTGGAGGAAGGAAATTGATTGGACTTAATCGTGACATGCTATTCCAAAGAAAAGGAAACGCAGTCGATTTGAGTCTAAACACCGAGGGAGTGAATCGCTGCTCTAAGGCACACACGGACAGACCTGAACGAAGTCATATAATAGTCCTGCTCCATACTGTTGAAAAGAGCAACATTTCTATAAATACGTATTATGAACAGGTTAATGCCAAGGCTTCAGCTGTTCAGGAAATTGAGTACTTTTCAAACAGCTGCTGGCTAAGAGGTTTGATTCCTGCACTTCAGCAGTCCAAGAAGTACTTGACCAAAACATCTTAGGATTATTTAGACGACTGGCTAAAAGCCTCCAACACCGTTTTTTTATTTATTTATTTTTTTTATCATTTTGTGACAAAAAAACAACGTTTAAATCCTGTTATTGACTGACTGTGAGGCTGCAGCAGATCCCCGTCAGTGTCAGACATGTTACACTATATAAAATTCTGATAGTTATTTTACATTTCATTTTTTATATCTCCTGTTTTAGAATAGGAGACATATGTTTCCTATTGTTTAGAATATTTATCTGCCGTCATCGGCGGCGTTGCTAGCCAGCCTGCACATTCAAGGCAGGCTCTGCTGTGGGTGGAGGAGCTGAAGTACAGCGGAGAGCAGAGGGAAGGTGTGAGCAGCGCGTGCATGAGCATGATTGAGAGTGGCTCTGATTTGGTCGTTTCTGACCATGAGCGGTGTATTTCTGCGCCAACAGCTCTGTTTATACTGCCATATAGAGCACTTTCTCTTAAGTTATCTTGGCTCCCTAATAGAACTGAAGTAAAATACAGTAAGGATGATCAAATAAATATCAAAGATTTGAACAGTCCCTAAATAAAAGCGTTGCATTTAGCTCCTCTAAACATTACTCAGAGAGAGGTACTTCAGCCTTAAACTAGCAGATTTGCTTTCAGGCATGCGTTTTTCTTTAGCGGTATCTATAGAAAGGGAAAAATATGTGGAAATAAAACAGATACTTTTAATTTTAGTGTGGTGCTAATGTACAGTACATGGCATTTACCCTGAGGGCTATAGTCGTCTGTCTCTAATGATGCTTTTCCTTCAGTTCGTTTCTTCTTTGAATTTATTCCTTCTATCTGACGCACACCGAAAGAGAGAGACCCAACAGATTTATAGCGCAGAAGACAGGAATGTGATTCTGTTGCTCCGGCTGCGGCATGACTCATCTCCCTCATCTATTCCAGGTGGGTGCAGAGATCTGCGTTGGACCAACACCAATCCACAGACTGACATCTATCACATATAGGTCTCATGAAATTACTCATACCGCTTAAGCTTTTTCCACATATTTCCCGTTACAGCCACAATATCCAGTGCATTTTAGTGATCAGTCAATAACTGTAAAGCAGAAAGTCAAAAAAATTCTTCTTTTTTTTTTTTACTTACAATAAAATCTGAAAACCTGGTCATTTTCAGCGTAAAAACAACTGTTTTGTGAAGGTTTTAGAGCATCATGCAGACAAAGGAACAGCAGGAATAAAGTTACAGAGGTTACAGTTGGGTTGGGTCATAAAACACTTTTCTATTGGGTAGTTTATCTTCCATTAGGAGAATTATCCTAATCATATAACTAACGATAAAATGGGATAGCTTAGATCTGAAAAGCTATCCCAACATCAGCTCTCAAAAGCAGCTGTTCTGCAAGATTTAAATGTTCTCCTGGTTCAAGGAATCGTAATCAAGTGGATAATTTGCTGCCAATCCTCTGCAGAAGTTGACGACATGTTGAAGAGGTAATTTAGATTTGGAAAAAATTTATAACATGTAGGACACTGGCGTTTGTAGACTGGAGATAGCGGCACCTGGTTTGAATTCAGGTAGCAGAATGAACCAACTAAACTGGGAATCGGTGGAAAGACTTAAAAATGACAATAATGTTCACAGACACTCTCCATCCAATCTGCTTGAGCTTAAGGAATTTTGCAAAAAAAAAAAAAAAAGAATTGGCAAACTTTCAGTCAACTTTTGCATTGATGATACATAAATACCACAAAAAGCTAAAGATGGATGAATACACCTTCAGTACTCTACCTCCAGTCAGGCACCCTGATCCTAACATGGCCCTTTAAGCAAGGCTTCAAAACAAAAACCACCATGTTTCATGTTGCATGGACCTGCCTTTGGCTCCAGTCATAAAGGTTAGTTGAATGACCTGATTTATGCAATAACTGTGCAAAAACAGACCAAGACAGAGGAGAGACGGGGCATATGGGCTTTCTCCCTGACACCAAGGTTAAACATCAAACAGGGAGGGAAGGATGAAATTACCCTCATGTGCACATGAACACTAGCAGTTTACTGTTACAGGATATTCATTATAATAAAGTTACAAAAGCAAACCATTCATGGAATAATGATCACCACAACTTTGGCAAATTATCATTAGAAAACAATTCTCAGATTCTTACTCTTACTTTCCCCAAAGGTCTTCTGCAAAAGTAAAGTGGGCTTGATTTCTGAAAGTAAATGGGTAAAATAAGTATTTCTCTTTTTCCAACAAAAATGGTTCTTCTGTTTTGACCTAAAATTATATTAGCAATTTCCCCTTGGGAGTCAATACATTCTATTCTATTCTATTCTATTCTGGCGTAAAATTTCAAAAGTAGTTCAATTCACTCTGGAAACAAGCACCACTCTTGTGTGACTATTGAACTTTGCCTGGGTTCAAAGCTGTAAACATAAAATCACTTTTCTGCCACTGCTCAGCTGCTTCTTGCTTGTTCTTTTCTTTTCAGCTTCTTTTGCATATTTCTTGACCTTAGACATGGAAACAGATACAACACTTCAGTTAAGGGCTCAAATTGAAAAGGACATGGTAAGGAAGAAAAAAAAAGAAGAAAAAAAAAAGTGAATACATTAAAGTGCCTGTGTGTAGAATGCTGAAGTGGAACAGTTACAGAAGCACACACATAGTAAAGAGATTATGAATAGAAATCTGAACAGGTAGTAGAATGGAAGCCATAAATCTTTTTACACTTTGGGTTTACAAAGATGAAAAGGATTGATGTAAATTGTGCTAAAAGTCTTATACATCATTATGTGAGCTTTCAGTTGATCACATCCAAGAATGACTCAGAAGAGAATAAATGCGCCTCGAAAGAAGGAAAATCCAACACTTGATCAACAGGAATGTTAGCAATGCTCTTATTACATCAGTTTAACAATGAATAAATAAGCAGTTCTTCAGGAGGGGTTTATGTATAATTACTATTGGATGGAAAATCGCTTTGCAGAACAGTTGATGACCTGAGAATGGTTTATTGCTCGTTAATGATAATGAACACTCTGGGTACTGGTGCACACACCTCTGACTCTCAGTCATCTTATGTGAAATGCTCCATTGTTATTGAAGCCAGCTTATCCCATCCTGCAATCAGACTGCAAAAAAGGGAAGGCAGAGATGTCACAGTGATCAAAGTGTGTGTTTAGCGTACCAAGCACGGGGCCTCTCTCTCGCTCTGAAACAGAGAACCTGATAGCTGAACTGTCTGACAGCCTCTCTTGTCTTTGTGGTTCAGACACAGAAATGGAACAGATCCGATGAGACGCAGAAATACAAGCTTTTGTCCTTGCAGCTCTCCTCTTCTGTCTTTCTCATGACAGCATTCCCCCCGTCTTATCCTTAATATTATCCTTCTGGTTTTCTTTCTATGTTAACGGTTACTTTTCAGTATGTGGACTATATTGATATTTAGAGTTATATCTTACAAATAAGACGAATATCTTCATGCTGCTTTGAGATGAAGGGTGACCTTGGTTTTGTTTTCCCCCATAGCACAGATGTTGTGTTGATAGTGCGTAATGGGAGTATGATGGAGGGATTATGGGAGATACCTCGCTAAATAGCTAGCTAGCTCTACTCATCCCTGTAGGGAAAGTGATTTGCTGCATTATCAGGAGGAATTAACATGGAAAGACAGCAATATACATACACAAACATTAACAGCAAAGAGGTTTGAATTACCCATTAATTTATGGTACCTTTTTACTTTTAACTATTTAATTGCTTGAGAAAGGTGGTTTCTTGGCCCTCAAAGAACATTGCAAGACATCTGGGGATTTCTCATAGTTTGTTTTTGCTGTTGTTTTGATAAAAAATACTATGCAGTGCAACCCACATGAATTTAGTTGATTCAATGAAAATCTGCACTGGGGATTTCATGATTAATTGTGACAACTAATAAGCGACTATCCTCAAGAGTCATATTCCTTCAGCTTTCTAGGCAGTTGGAAATAAAACATGTCCACCATAACCAGTTCTACAAACAAAAGAAAACAAGTTAAAAGTGGCAAGCTACTCACCGTAGACTTTTCCTAAGAACAGCGTCTTAACCAGGTCGAATTGAATGTCTGAGGCATCTGGAAGTTTGTAGTTCACAGGCGGGTAATGATCCAGCTGGAACGAGAAGGAGACGCAACGAGCAGCGAGTGAGACGTCAGAGTCAAAAACATTTTTCAGAAAGTCTGAAAAGGTCCCCCACTGAAACATGCATCGACACATTAAGGAGAGCACAAAAAAAGACCAAATGATTAAAAGATGGTTAATGTGAGGCACTGAACTGAAAACAAGGATTATACACAGCTCAACAGCTCCCTCCTGTGGCTTCCAGATGTCAATACATATAGTTAAATGTTAAGGGAAAATGTACATTTTGCAAGGATTTTAGTCTACAATTTATTTATCAAATAATTATAGATATCATTCACAGTGTATTTTTTCCTCTGAAAAATCCCACCAAACTTTTTTTTCTTCTCTGAACTCCCTGCAAATACATACTATTCAAACCTCAATTCAGATATAAAACAGCTCACATCAGACATGTCTAAGCAAGACTTTGCATTCTTGTCCTCAATTGCCAGTGTAGTGCAAAACTACAGTAGAATAAATGGTCACACAGAAACCATGGTACCAAAACGTTTTCACCCCCTTGGATGTTTTATTCTATTGTTTTAGCAAAACCACCATTATCGACATAATTTGTCTTTTTTTGACAACAGTCAAATACTTTTCTTTTTTTGTCAAGAAAGAAACATTTTGTTGATCATGATTGA